CTCACAGCATAACCCACACCCTCACTCTGTGTCTCAGGCAATAGCAGTGGCCAATCTCCCAAGACTCAGACTCATTTGTGTCTTGGGACACGTCCTTTAAGCTCTCTCATAGCCTCTCAGCCCATTCAAGCCTGTGCTCATCGATTTTATGCCCCTGTCCCTGGCCTGTTTTCAATCTCTAGGGGACATGCATTATGCTTATAGGGAGGGCAAGGGGGCAGACACTTGTCCACTTCACATCTTTTTAATGGAAAAGCCATGACTCTATAAGAAATTTTTTCAATGCCACTCATAATGGTAAGAAATGACCCTAAAAATCTGCAAAAGACCTTGCAAAAGAACTTCATGCAAAAAGTTCAAATCTCCAAGATGACCTCACTCTGACTCCTAGAGTAGTGCTTACCGTTGCTAATGAGCTGGCTGGGAAGTTGAAGTCCCTCACCAATAACTTTAGAGAAGTAAGGTGAATGGCTAGCTGATATTTTAAAACAAATCATAATAATCCTTATTCGTTTCAGTTGCCAATATACAATTGGTTTAGTTCTGCTGTTATCCATTCCTGAAGGTAATTTAGTTTGTATATTTTAATAAAAAGGCATTTGGTAATACACACCTAAAATCCTGGAGCTTAGGATGTAGAAGCAGGAGGATCTGGAGTTCAAAGTCATCTTCAGCTACATAGCGAATTTGAGGGCAGCCTGAGCTACTTAGACTTTTTTCTCAAAACACAGAAGAAAACAAGGCTCTTGAACAAAAAGATGTGAAGAAGTATTTATAGTGTGTTGTTCCTTCTACAAGAAAGGGATGGTGGTGAAAAAAATGCACGTTTATCCATCATTGCTTCTAAAGAAGTGTCTGAAGAATATACCAGAAACAACTGAGATGGGTGATCACCATAGGGTGAATGGGAACGGAATAGTGAAAGGAATGATGCCTGTTTAAGGATGCTTTCTGCATTGCACTGTTTTTTTTGTTGTTTGTTTGTTTGTTTGTTTGTTTTGTTTTGTTTTTGTTTTTTAGTTTTTTGAGACAGGGTTTCTCTGTGTAGATTTGGAGCCTATCCTGGCATTAGCTCTATAGACCTTGAACTCACAGAGATCGGCCTGCCTCCCAAGTGCTGGGATTAAAGGCCTGTACCACCAATGCCCTGCTTTTTCTTACTTTCTTTCTTTTTGGCAATGTGCTATTCTTTACAGCATATCCTTCCAAAATGCCAACCTGGATGAGCGGGAAGCCAAAATCAAAGACAAATAATAACAAACATACCCAAACTCATTACAAATGACAACATAACCACACAGTAAAGAGGAACTTCAGGTATTTAGAAAAATGATTATTGTGTGAACTTTTCCTGGGGAGATGAACACACATTCATTTGCCCCAGATAAGGCACCAATGGCAGAACAAAGAAACAATTGTATCCTTGTCTAGCTTGGTGAAACAATGAGTCTAATTAGGGTTACTTACAGGAGCATGGGAGGGGCATTAATAGGAGCATAGGCAGCTTACTAGTGGCTACACTACTGAATAAAATGTCTTCCCTGGAAACCATTAACTGCTGTCATATCCTTGGGAGTAGGCAGGGTCTCCTAAACCTCTTTCCTAGCAATTGTCAACTATATATCCTTAGGCTAAGATATCTTAGCCCTTCTCTGAACAAGAAGGAGGGTTAGGGCTTCATCATTCCTTCCTTAATGATGGAACTTTTAATGGGTCTAATTTCATGCCACTGAGCATTCAATAGGGCAATAGCCATATCATATCATGCATACATGCTCATATACACATATACATGTGTGTTTTTCTTTTGCAGTACTAGATATTGAATTTGTGGTCTCATTCTTGGTATCAAGCACGCTGCCACTGAGCTTTAAGACAACTCTCACTAAATTGGTCGGACTGGTCCTAAATGTGCCATCTTCTGCCTCGGTCTCCCAAGTAGCTCTGAGCTACCAGGATTGGCTGGGAAATTTCCAGTTGCTGGGGCAGAGGGTTGGTGCTCAAATACTTCTCCAAAACCCCAAAACTGCTTATTTCAATCCATACATTTCGAGGAAAGACCTAGTCACAGTAACTCTCCAGGAATTTGTGTGTTAGGATCATGCTAGGAACTCTAATTCTTGCTATGATCACCCTATATAGGGTAATACATCCACTCTCCAGACCCCAACTGCACCTTTGACATGCTTCTGAAATGGAAGGTGAGGGTGTCCTTTGTTTAGTAGAGCTGGGGTTGTATTTACAAGACTAAGGAACAGGTGGTGTATCTCACTTGACATTAATGAAGAATTTCCTGGAGTTGAAGATGTTCGTGCTAGGGCTTTCCAAAAAAAAAAAAAAAAAAAAAAAAAAAAAAAAAAAAAAAAAAAAAAAAAAAAAAAAAAAAGACG